TGTTGCAGGGACAAAGCTAAAAGGATTGTTACTCATGTAATGTAGGGCAGCTGGAACTAGGTTATGTTTGTGTTATTATTGTCGTACTAGCTAGCATTAAGCAATACGTCTACAACACATTATGCAAGTATAATTGAAAAGAACAACCATATAATAATCATGTGTAAAATCAACCCCATCATAATTGAAATGTGTAATGTCACGTTACCAAGTTTTTTTTTTTTTGTTTTTTTTTGGGGTCTGATGTCTATCATCAAACTTAGAGTACCATCCACTAACAGGGCAAAAGGACATAAGATCATCACATCACGTATGGAATCGTCTCATTGACACTGAAAAATAATGTCACAAGTAACACCAGAATTGTACTAGATGTTCACATGGCACCATCAACATCATTCTTGACTAAGGTCGATAGCATTATCACAAGATGGAACCCTCATCAAGTAAATATAGCTGCTGTAGCATCAACAGTGGTTCATTCACACCAACATTTTCAATGGGAACCATCTCATTGCCATCATCATTTTCATCCAAGGAAATGAGAAAAGGATATAACTTAAGGTACCCATTAACATTTCACCTGGTACAACGCATATCAATTGTATAGCTGTACAAGGTACTTCCATGTCAGCAATATTCATGGAAATCATTTCAGTAATGACATCTTAATTAGTCATAATATAAAATCATCAAGACTGCCTATACACTTAATTCACCATGGTGATTATGATGATGATGATTTTAATACTTATCATCATATGATGCAGACAATTCAATCAATTTCCCTGTTGATCAAACACCTAATGAAGGCAAAAGCCACATCTTTTAGTTATGTGATCCAATTTTAAGGTGTCATAAACAATCTAGATTTAGATAATCTACGCAAAGAGAATGTCATCGGTATCAGGTATTATAAGAAATAAAATCTTTCTCAAAATAGTTAACTTGTTTTCTGGAAAGACAATGATATTCAACAAACAACATCAATACACAAATGCGATCATACAGCTTATGGAGCACTGAGAATGGAACTTTCTTTGTCATTAGTCAATTGATCTCTATTCACCTAGCCATAATGGCATTACGTCCATTCTAAACCAACCTGACGCTCCCTCTTAAAATGGGTATGAATATGTACAGTACAACCCCATGAATTTTCTGGAGTGACAAACGATATTCAAACTTCCACCAGAAAATTGGCATGAATTTTGTGGTAGGAAATGATATTTCATTATATACTTCAATAATTGAAAGGAACATGAAGCTTCAAGCACCAAACCACCAGAAAATACTCCAGTAATAAAAGTTTATAATTCTAGAGCCAGACTGGTCAATGATCCCTAACTTATCACCATATCCTTATCTGTTGGGTGGAATTCATAGCTAAGTTTACTCTTTCAGTTAGTATCATTGAAATAATCATTGTCCGTGATCCCAAACTACCTACCAGATCAATGATCATCATGTCTTTTTATCCATGAGATGAAAATTTATACTTAATATGGGAGCTGTTATTGGCACTCCAAAATAGTCATCCTGCACTCCTTTAAATGAAAAAAAAAAAAAAAAAAAAAAAAAAAAAAAAAAGGGAAGGGAAGGGAGCAGGATGACTATATTGAAGTGCTACTGAATATTGAGCATTTTATAACAATCAATTAATAACCTTAAACAAAAAAAACTAATTCTCCGTCATCCCTGAATTGCCTTATACCTTTCTATTTTCTTGTCAAATTTCATTACAATTAGTTCTACCCTAGAATTGTGAAATGGAATACATTTTATAAATCAAATTGGCTAATAAAAGGATTTTCAAATTTTATCCTATCCAATAATGTCTTTACCGTCTCCTTTTTGACCCCTTGCAAAGTCAGAGTTATATTAACTAAAAGATTTTAACTGGAAAAATAAATAAATGAAAAAATACTTTCACAGCTAAAATAAGTACATGGAAAAAGATGAAGGTAAATCCTTGGTAAACCGTGGAAGATATTATAAAATGATTTCAGGATGTTAGATAGCCAAGATGAATCCAAGAAACCAGACTGGGCCAAAGGATATCACAATAAATGATTCAACTATATGAAGTGACCACAATTGACAGAATAGTATTGCCTGCACCACTCACACACATATTCAACTTCAGAGGGGGGCCAAAGAAGAAAATATATGCGGAATCTAGTAAAGAAAAAAGGCCACAAACTCTAGTAAATTAAAATTCATGGGCTAAAATTCCATTCGAAGTAAGGTAATGGGATTTTATGTTCCACCATCTTCAACTCTTCTTGTGGAGGAACCTAAGGCAATGGCCTCTCCCATGAGCAATGGTAATTTACTTGAGAGAGCTAAGCGAAGCAGGTGGACAAAGGTCCTATTTCTTTTGTTCATCCCCTTTACTAAAAAAACTGTTTTCTCTGCAACTTAATAATTAGAGTTCAGAAACCTTTGTTAGTCAAGTCCCCATGGATACAAGTTAACTGGATAAACAAGACCAGGATCGCAGCGAACTCCCTAAACCATAGAATCTCATGAATGTAGCAGAACGAGGTCATGCGTAGACTGGGAAGATATCGGCTTTCTAAAACATCGATTAGTATAACAAAATGTGATATGGCATATTTTAAAATCTAGAAGAGCTTCTATTAAAAGAGCCGACTAATACATTACTTTGGTGAGGCAACCTCACAAACTCTTCAATGGGATTATTCAATATTGATGAGGTCTCTAGAAGACCAAAGACTATTCGTGGTATTTTACTTCACACAATGTACGTCTGTCTTTGAGACTCAAAATGCACTCTTAATTCATAGAGTTTTCATCTCATCTTCTATTTGTATTTTACTTCACACAATGTATTTCTAGCTGCACAAACATCATCTCTATCAACTCTGTAAATAGAGGTGAGCTTTCAACAGTACAGACTGTTTGCAGTTTGCACAAGGTATTTCTTAAAATAAAAAAAATCCTTCAAATAATAGGATTTACTTTCCAAGAATTAAATGACCTAATGAAAAAAAAACCACAGTGGCTTTCATAAAGTGCAGGCAGGGCAATATAAAGATTTCGGCTTTTACTTATTTGTTGGTTTCCAACAATAAGCTTAGTTTGGTTGGCTGAAGTTGTGGATATAAAAGTTCCTCTAGCATGGTCAATGAGGTAATGAAATCCCCTAACGAGATCCTACCATGAACGAAATAGTACACGATATTGTTACAAATGGTTTCTACTATTTTTATTTGGTCAATAGCTATGATTAAAAGTAAACTAATTCACTTCCACTGATGATTGAAACTGAATTGTTCCAATTTTAACATCATTGGAAATGCAATAACATCAAGAACCATGACAAAACCCATCTTGTATTGCATACAAAATTTCAGACAATTAATATAACATCTATAATAAAAAATTCGAGCACTTTCAGAATTTGAAGATTCATTCATAGACACAGTTCAAAGAAAAAAATGAAGACTTTAAAGACAATTGCCCAAATCTCTACCCATAAGAAGTACAATTTTCACCACATCACATACCTTGACAAATCAGATTATGAAGTAATAGCAATCATTGAAATTTGTTTTGAGGTTGAGCTAAAGCTATTGCGCCCAAGTACAAATGTAAAAGCAGATAGAGAAAAAAGCACTTACAGGTTTTTGGAGCATTTCTAAGGTCCTCGCTGCTAAGAAGCAGAACAGTAGAGAGAGAGAGAGAAAGAGAGTGTGTTTGTGGGGTATGAGTAAACAGAAACCCTTTCTGACCGTCTTTGGACGAAACGCGGCAACGATGCCCCACGACAACCGTTTTGATGAAACACTTTTTCCTCTTTTTTATTTGGGTTAGGCTTTTTCTTTTTTCCTCAACTCTGCCCCGTTTTCTTTCTAAAGAAAGCTTACCTCCTTAAAAATAATAATTTATATATATCCGAGAGACGAGATCGAGATGAGGTGACAGAAAAAAAAACCCACAGGCTTGGACAGTAAAAAAAAGAAGGAAGTCCGTGAGAACAACAAATTTTCGTTTTCAATATTTGTTCATGATCGTTGAATTCATTTTCAAAAAGCAAATTATATGTTTTTCAATTTAGCGGTGCCGAATGCATATTTGGTGAAAACAGAAAACAGAAAATGAAAACTATGCTCCGAAAACATAAACGAATGGGTTTTTAGTTTGTATTTTTATTTTTTGGATGAAAGGAATATTCATAGGGTGAAAATTATAAATAATATAAAAATTCTATTTTGCTTATGCATTTAATAGAAAAAATAACAAAATTGCCGATATGATCATTTGTCTTAACGAAAGTGAAGTTGAATGACCATGGGAACGATTTTGAAAATTGAGGGATCAAAATACGAATCGGGTTAAAATTTAGGGACTATTAGACCTAAAAATCCTATTTTTTTTATTTTACACAAAAGTCTTATGAGGAAACAATTAACGATAATCTATATAACCAATTTACGATATTTAAGACATCAAAATACTCTTTAAAGAAGCATGTTTGTTTGCGAAATTAGGTTGTAGGTGGAAGTTTGAAACACCATGGTCAAATAATGAGTTCTCTAAATGTAGAAGAGAAGACTGGCTGCATTTGAAGAAAGTAAGACTTTCTGAGATTCTCGCATACCGCCCACCTGCATTTTATAAATAAACAAAAAATATATACAAATAAACGACTTGATAAAAATAAAATAATAATAAAGGACAAGATCTCAACCTCATGTCCTTTGCCATTCGGCACGCTCTCTCTCTCTCTCTCCTCTCTCTCTATTTTTCAGACGCACACACTCCCGAACCAGAAAAATCAACGTACTTTCTTCCCCTCCATGAGAGGATTAGGGCAGATATAGATCCCAAGATTTGGAAATGGAAGAAAGTCGCGTGCAATTATTGCATCGCGGTTGCTGATTTCTGAGGCATTGAGGTCGAAGCTGAGCTTGAATTTGATCCGGGGTTCGCTGATTGATGCTTTTCGGTCGAGTTCTGGTTCTAAGACGCACATGGAATCGTTCTGGACCCACAATGGCGCACCAGACGCTTGGCACTTCCTCGTCGTTATCTACTTCGCTTTTGGGTTTTTGGCTGCTCGGCTCTTCTTTGACAGATTCATCTTTTGCGTAAGATTTCTAGCTGTGTTTGGGATTTCAAGTTGCTTAAGCATTTGGTTGTGCTCCTTCTTTTTTGAATCTTCAATTGGTAGAATCTGTTTGACTTCTGAGACAAATGTGGAAAACAGGGAGAATAAAATCTTGAATTGCATATCTTGTCCTCCTTTACTTTCCTTATTAGATACTAACTTGTAGTATTTTCTTTGAACTATGATTTTTTCCTTTCCAAAGTTTTGACTGTGTAGCTTAGTTGAATAAGCGCTTTTGTTTCTTGGACTCCAAATAATGGCGCGATAAGTAATTGGGCTTTTAGTACGAATCGTAGTTTGTTTGAGAACTTGCATCTCTATATTGTGGGTTCAAAGAATTGAGTTTGTCTTTTTAATTGTCAAGAAGGAATCTTGAACAATTGCAAGGACAAGAAGATTTAACATGGTAGTACAAGCATGTGCCCTACCATTTGAATGCTTGTTATAGGACTTTAGCATGGTAGTTGTTTAATCTTGCCATGATTTCAGGAAAGTGGAGATTTGTGCTGATTAATCAATTTGCAGTATAGGTTTTTTTTTTGGGTAAAATATTTGTAGTATAGGTTGAATGGTTCATTATTAACTTGACGATGTTGGGACATTCAAGGTTTCAGTAGCACAAGTTTCGGTCTTGCATCAGAAATGTGCTCTTTATAGGTCCGTAACTCTGTAGAAATTTAAGGTGAACTAGATGATCCCCTTGGAATTGTTAACTGGTTTTCCAGCTGTTGATAATATAGGCAGTTTACAGCTTGTTACATTGGCTTCATCCAAAAGTTAGGTTGGCTTAATTTTTTATATAATAGAAATGAATTTATTGAAAGAAAAAGAAGAGGAAAAGACTGATTTCTAGATCATGTACTTGGAGGACTGATGTTTCGGTGTTCTGTATATACACCTATGTACTCTATTCTTGTGCTATGGAAAAAATGATCTTCGTCATATTGTTTGAAGTTTATTTTCAACATGGTATCATAGCAATATGTTCATGGTAACCTAACATTTCTGCCACCCTAACCCCTATCCTACCTTGTACTATAGCTGCCACCACCACACCATCTCCAAGTTAAGTGAAAAGGAATATGCAAGCATACCATAGATTTGATAGTTATCCTATATACGTTAAGTGAAAATGAATATTCAAGCATGCAGTATACCAGGTTTATGTTTTTTCATACATAAGTGAAATACAAAAAAGTACGATCCAAATTTTGACTACTTTCCAATATATTCTTAAATCAATTTAATAAGCAGCATAAGGTTGAATTTTCCTCTATTTTTAAGCTGTCTTCTTATATATCATAACCTACCAGTATATGAGGAACAAAAGCAGCATCAGTAACTATTTAGGTGAAAAGGAACATGAAAGCATGCAGCTTTAGCAGATTTGCATGTTTTATCTTACCTTGAATTATAATCCTCATATTTTAAATTTTTTTCTCTTAATTTTTTTGTGTTTCAGAAAATTGCCATCTGGTTGTTGAGCAAGGGATCTGCTCCATTGAAGCTCGATATGGCTACACGGGCAAAGGTTGTAAAATGTTCAGAGTCACTTTGGAAGCTAACGTACTATGCCACTGTTGAAGCATGCATTCTCAAGATAAGCTACCAGGAGCCATGGTTCAGAGATACAAAAGAGTACTTTAAAGGCTGGCCAAACCAGGAGTTGGGGTGAGTGACTCATATGGTTGGACTAGTAGTACTTGTTAGATAATCCCCTTCTCGCACCTCCTCCCTCTTCCTTTTTTTAAAAAAAAGCTGAAGATGGTTCGATCATGTCTACAATTCAATTTTTGCATGATTTGTTTGGAAGGAGAGGGGGAGAGTACCGAAGTTAGGAATGACTTGAATTTGTAGAATTCTAGATCAATGATGAGTTTTCACATAATTTGAGTTTTACAGACACAGCATTCTGAAATTGTGTATTCTAACTCTATTCCTTTCTCATTTCAGGCTTCCCCTAAAGCTTTTGTATATGGGTCAATGTGGATTCTATACCTACAGCATTGTTGCCCTCCTTACATGGGAGACTCGAAGGAAGGATTTCTCAGTGATGATGGGTCACCATGTAATTACTGTTCTCCTGATTGGGTTCTCATACATTACGAGGTATTTTTCAGGTTTTCTGCGAGCACAATAATATGTTGGTACCACAGAGCATATATTTAGCAATATGCATTTGTGTGGTGTGGAGGATCTCATGCAATGACTTTCTTTTCATTTTTTGGCCACTTGTAGCTTTTTTCGGATTGGCTCAATCATTCTTGCCCTGCATGATGCGAGTGATGTATTTATGGAAGCTGCCAAGGTTTTCAAGTATTCTGAGAAGGAGCTTGCCGCAAGTGTGTTATTTGGATTTTTTGCTCTTTCGTGGCTCATACTGAGGCTAATATTCTTCCCTTTCTGGGTTATAAGGTCATCAAGGTCTGCTTTCATGGTAAACCGTTTTATTAAACCAAATTTACATGTAGAGTGGCTCTGACTTATCTTTTCTTATGGTTGGTATTTTCCAGCTATGACCTTCTTGACTGCTTGGATCTATCAAAGCCTGCTCCCAGAGCTCTGTACTATGTGTTCAATACAATGTTACTGATGCTGTTTGTGTTCCACTTATACTGGTGGGTTATGATATGTGCAATGATAAGAAGACAGCTGAAAAATAGAGGAAAAGTTGGAGAAGATATAAGATCTGGTAAACCATATATACTGCTTACAAGTTTGAATCTTACAAAGCCTTATACTGCTTATAAAATTTATTGTGAGAACTACTTCATTATAATTGGAAAATATTTCTTCTCTTTCACTCTCATTGATTCAGTAATATGGTTGAATCTTACAAAGCCTTATACTGCTTATAAAATTTCTTGTGAGAACTACTCTTTTATATTTGGAAAATATATTTCTTCTCTTTCACTCTCATTGATTCAGTAATATGGTTGGAAGCATTTAGTCGGATTTTCTGTAAAAGAAACCTTCACTAATAAATGCATGCGCCAATACCTAAGAAAACGACATTATAAAACTTCTCATTTTATTGGTACTAATTGAATATGGTAGAGTTGGGAATAAAGTTAGATTTTCTAGCATTGTCCTATGGTTGATACTTTATGCTCTCCCCAGACCTAGTATTGGTGAGAGCTTGGTGCACTGGGCCACCCCCTTTTTAGTGATTTGCCCTCCCATACTACTCGAAGGATTTTGGTTTGATGCCATGTTTCAAATTCTCAGTCACTTGAAGTTGAGATTATTCATTGTACTCAGACCCCATATCGTGTTCTTGAAGCCAACCATGTATAGCATCTACTTTCATGCACAGCCAAACACGTTTCAAAGTGAAAAGCTATGCCTTTTCAGTGATTTTTAAATAGGATCTTTGCCCCTTTTTCTGATGATTGTTTTTTTTTTCCTGCATGTATACAGATTCAGAGGATGATGATTAGGCTTCCCAAGTTTTTTTTTTGTCTGTGCTAATGCTGGGGAGCCTACTTTTGACTTTGGTTGGCTTATCGTTCCACTCAAAAGTGGTCATTATCTGTAGGAAGGGCTTGATACTTTCTTCCATATTCAAGTTTCTTTGATTCTTCTTATGGGTAGTCATATGGAGGTAGGAACGTCGAGCATATCCCTTGTTATCTTGTTTTTCTTTCGATGGAGTCTCTTGGTATCTTTCTGGTGTATAAAATGAAGGAAATTCCTGTATAATTCTTCTCTGGATAATCATTTGTTTTGAGTTAGCCTTTGTATGGAGAAATGAAAGGTACTCACAAAATAGAAAAGAGAAAATCATCTTTCTGTGGAATGCTGTGTGATTTGATTCGGACCTCCTGTGGAGTGCTTAGAACTTTTTTTTTTCACGTTTCACTTTTCCCTTATTTTCCATCTCTTTCAAGAAAAACGAAATTAGGAAGATGACAAAACGGACCCTTAGCTTTTCCATCCCCATTTAATTTTGCGTGATTTCCTTCAAGACCTCCTGTGTGGTGCTTGAACCTCTTATTTGAGGACAATGCATAAAAGTGTTCATACTAGGGGTTTTGAGGGTCTCGCATCTAAAACTTTCAGCATTTTGTCATCAAATTTTCGTTCAAAGCTTTGGAAAGCCGAACGAGTAATACAATCACCACACATTTGATAACCTGCATAATGTGTCTGCAAATCACTTCTGCTTGGTGGCTTTGCTATAGAACTTGGGTTGTTCTAGTGTAAACTTGAAACCATTAGGCCCCATTTGGTTCATAAAACGATTTTGAGGGGAAATAACTTCCCATGTCATTTTCTAATGGATGGGAAATGGAGATTCATTTTCTATGTTTGGTAATCATGGGAAAGTAATCAAGATATCACTTTATTTCCTTTTACATGTTTGGTTTGTGTGGGAATGTCAAATAAAAAAGAATATATTTAATGTTATATTGTAATTCTAAAATGTTAATGGGGGCAATATAGTCATAAAAAATGTGTATTTAATGTTAGCTTATTTTCTCAAACTTTTCCCTGCTTGGACTTACCAAACATAGGAAAGCAATTAATTTCCCATCCCCAAGCCTCGTTTCCCAGAAATCAAACATGACCTTAGTGTGGGCAAAAGAGTACTTGATTCATAATATAGGCCCTGTATTGCAGTAGAACAATCCTATAGAATCCAATATTTGAAAGTTGGGAAAATATTTGAGTTGTTAAATTACTTTGCTTTGCTATTAATTACATTAATTGCCAATTTGAAAGAGGGATTTGTGGAAAACGTAATAAAAGTGTTAATACTAGAGCCTTTTCCACACGTTACTAGAATTGTCTTCTACAATACCATTCAAGTATCTCTATCCAAATGAAGTCTTAAGATACTTTCCATGCATGCGACATTGATGGCGGATATGTTATCAGACGCAGCCGATTGCGGTCTGACTCAACCAATCAGAACAAAGAAAAACTTAGCCAAATGCTTGACTTCGACGTGACGTTACTCTAATCATATTTCTCTTCCACAAATGTCGAAAGACATCTAAGTTCGATTCTCCTATTCCAAAGACTAAATAGCAGTCACGTTTTCACACCAGCAAGATAATCTTAAATACAACGATGAAACGGACACCATTTCACAAAGCTACTTTAAGCTCAAACCAGCAGGTTATGATACAAGGAAAGAGACATGAAATCTCCAACTACTTCTCTCTTCTATCTCCTACTCTGTATCAATCTCCTGCCCAACTTCACTGCTTCCGAAATCCTTTTTCAGGTATTTACAGAAAGAATACTCTCTCTCTCTCTCTATGTGTCAAAGGGCTAACTTTTTTTGTGGGGGGCTGATGATCAGGGGTTCAATTGGGAATCATGGAAGACGGAAGGAGGATGGTACAACTCTTTAAGGAAGTCCGTACCTGAACTAGCTTCTTCTGGAATTACACATGTTTGGCTTCCTCCACCTTCTCAGGCTGCTTCAGATGAAGGTAAAATCTGTTCAAACCAGAATTTTTTTTTTTTGAAGTTGCTGAGCTAGAACTTAATTTGGGTGCATTTGAATGGAATGATTTAACTTTGATAACCAAAAAAAATTAGTCAAAAATAAAATCAAATCTATAAACATTAGATACGATGTATTTAAATAACTAGATACAATATATTTGAAATAACTATTTATAAAGTTTGTGGCAATGTTGAAAGCATAGAGTCTTTAGCTATTTAGCAGCAGTTGCATGACTGCCATATGCCAATTCTTCCCTTTCTCCAGGATACTTGCCTGGAAGGCTCTATGATCTCAGTGCATCAAAATATGGAAGCCAAGATGAACTGAAGTCGTTGATAAGCGCCTTCCACGGTAGTGGGATACAGGCTGTGGCAGATATAGTTATAAACCACAGAACTGCAGAGAAACAAGATGAGAGAGGAATATGGTGCCTCTTTGAAGGAGGAACTCCAGATGAACGCCTTGATTGGGGCCCGTCTCTTATTTGCAGCGACGACACAAAATATTCTGATGGCAAGGGGAACCCTGACACTGGAGCCCCCTACGATGCTGCTCCTGATATTGACCACAAAAACACAAGAGTCCAGAAAGAGCTATCGGATTGGATGAATTGGCTAAAGACTGAAATTGGGTTCAGTGGGTGGAGATTTGATTTTGTCAGGGGATATTCTCCAGAAATTACCAAGTTGTATATGACAAACACAAGTCCAAATTTCGCAGTAGGGGAACTTTGGAATCCCCTTGCTTTTGGAAGTGAGGATGCCCATCGTCAAGAGCTTGTGAGATGGGTAGAGGTGCTGGAGGAGATGTTACAGCATTTGATTTTACCACTAAAGGGATACTTCAACAGGCAGTCCAAGGGGAACTGTGGCGACTGAAGGACCCGAATGGAAGGGCTCCAGGAATGATTGGTTTGTTTGCCTGGAAAGAGTGTAACTTTCATAGACAATCATGATACAGGTTCCACACAAAAAATTTGGCCATTTCCATCAGATAAAGTCATGCAGGGATATGCCTATATTCTCACTCACCCGGGAATTCCCTCAATTGTAAGTTTCCAAATTTGAGTTACCTTTTTCTCAAGTTAGAAAGTTGGCATCTTCATAAGCCCACACTAATGCTCGTTTAGCTGACTATAATATGAGATTCTGATTATTGTGCTAATTAGAGCAGAAAACTTATGTTACTTATGGTCCATTCTTAACATTTGTTTACCTGATTATCTTGTACCAGTTTTATGACCACTTCTTTGACTGGGGCTTGAAAGAGGAGATCACTAAACTCATTGCAATCAGATCCCGGAACGGGATCCAACCCAACAGTGCCTTGCGTATTCTAGCATCTGATGCAGATCTCTACGTAGCTGCCATAGATGAGAAAATCATAGCAAAGATTGGTTCAAGGTATGACGTTGGGAACCTTGTACCTCCAACCTACCAAATTGCAACTTCTGGAAAGGATTACGCCGTGTGGGAGAAAAAAAGCATGAGGTCTTGAATATCATCTATGGAATGAAGTGACTAGAAATTGTTGTATTGCAAATGTATTTTATGCTTATTTATCAAGGAATAAAGCAAATAGTAGTCTACCAAAAATAAAAAAATTGAGGTTTCTTTGGAAGATGCAAGAAAGTGAATACAATTTGCATGTGTGGAATTTCTTTGGAAGCAATTAAACTGCTTAACTCTTATCTATGAAGAATCCAATTGAAATATCATTATTTGAGGTTAACATTAGAGACCCCTAATTTCCTTACCAAATTTGTTCGCCAAATGATGTGTCAGTATACATGTCAATATCTTAGTTGTTAAACGAAAAAATGGCATTGAGAGTAGACCTATGAGACAACTTAGCCTAACATGACCTTATTTATTTCTTGTTGTTCCTTGGCAAAGAACAAGTGCCTCCATCTCCAATTCTCCATCATTGGCAATTGGTTGGGACAAGTTAACGTCAGTCGCACCATAGATAGCAGCGTTAGCAATTAAGGCATGTCTCTAATGGTACGTTGAATGACAGTCAGGACACTCACTTACCAAAACAGTACAGGTTTCATATCTCTGGGTATATACAGGTTTACCAAAACAGTTGAGATTTCACATTTTTAGGCCTAAAAACTGTCAGGTATGCAATTTACCGTAACAATCAAGTTCTCACACCTCTATCAAAGGATCTGGTTTCATTACAAGGAAACACGAACACTCTAAACCATTTCCCTCATCTATTTCCTTCTCTCTACCACTCTTGCAGCCGACTTCAGTGCTTCCCAGATCCGATTTCAGGTATTTATAGTAATACATAACCTCTCTCTGTCTCTCTGTCTCTCTCCGTAGGACTAATGTATTTTCGGGGGGCCGATGATCAGGGATTCAATTGGGAATCAAGCAAGAAAAGAGGATGGTGCAACTCTTTAAGCTACTTCCGGGATTACACATGTTTGGCTTCCTCCACCTTCTCATGCTATTTCACCTCAAGGTATTTACCTGTCCGAAAACTCTCGCTTGAAACTTGTCAGTTGTGCAAACCACATTTTGTTTAAAGTTGTTAAGCTCAAAGATGATCGCAGAACCAGCACGCAAGTCCGCTACAAGACTTTGATCCAAAAATTTTTTATTCCAATCTTGAAAGCTTAGTTTTTAGCCATAGCAGTAAGTATAGCCGTCCGGCTTTACGCTGTAAAGCCAACCGGCTATACTCTTTAAATAGAATATTTTTAAAGTATAGCCGCGCGGCTATACTCTTTAATAGCATAACCTTGATTTCTCTTTTTTAATTACTTTATTTAGTAGTTATTTTTTAATTATTATTTACTTAGTGATTAATTAGTATTTGAATATTTTATTAAATTAAAGATACGAAATTGTGTTTTTTTTTGTTTTTTTTTATTTTTTATTTTTTTTAAAAACATCCTTTGACGAAAGTTTGTTTGCACAGATATATCTCGGCAAACTTTTGTCGGATTAGACCTCTCTTGATGAC